AAACATTCCCGCAATTTATCCTGGTGTTTAAGACCTCCTAGGATGAATATTACATGAATAATAAAAAAAGTAACATTTAACATTATTTTACTATAAATCAGTAAATGTATTTTTGATTAATGTATTAATGTGTAATGTATTATTTACAGTTTTTGGACAAACATTACTCGAAAATATGGAAATGTTCGATTTATTGGTGCTGTAAATATAGATTCATTTCAGTACAACTATCTGAAAATTACTTTATTCCTAAGAAAATTTTAGATTTATCGTAAAAGTATGAGTCGATAAAGGTGTATCTAGATGCGTGAATAGTATTTGCTTGGTGTCCATCATATGATGGACGAAAACTCAGCACGTTTTCACCTGAACCGAGGAATGAAGTCTCGTGGACTGCGTCAACATGAATATCGTATAAAAGCCAAATGGCTGCAGTACGAGATTCATCCGTTCTCATCTGGTGAGATCGATCAACGAATCTCTTCTTCATGCACTTTCATCCGAAATGAAGGTCCCCCTAACAATATTTACCACTCAGGTAGTGGTTACATGTTTTCTCTGTGCTCATTTTAATTATCAATGAGGCTACATGGTATAACAAGGCAAGAAATAAAATGCTATTCAATCCAGATACATTTATTTTAGATACGAAGAGATACTGGATTTCGATTAATATTCTGAGATAACATTGTTGGTGGGACTTTCATTTCGAATGAAAGTGCATGAAGAAGAGATCCGTCGGTCGATCTCAACAGATGAGGACGGATGCATTTTGTTGAACTGCAGCCATTGGGGTGAAAACAGGCTGAGCTTTCGTCCATCGTATGATGGATATCCTCAGAGCTGGTTGTCATTCTTGTAAGAGCCTCACATTAACACTAGGGCAAGAATACTATCCGGCTTTATCTTACTTCTTATATAGACTCAATTAAGCCAAAGGAAAATTTGAAACCTAGATAGATCGATATAGAGTGGTTTGGCTAATTATCTTTCATACTGGTCCTGCTACTTTTGTTCGCTTGTGTGTGTGTGTGTGTTAGCTTCTATACGCAATACCGGTCTTAAGTCAGAGTTGTAAAAAGGCTAATGTCACACTCTGATCACCAAAGGCTAATGACCAAACAGAAAATCTTGACCGAGACTGCGTAATTCCATAAGCAAGTATGGTTGAAATAATGAGATATGAGCTTGTAAGTATGAAAGTCAAATTACGAAACCACTTGTTCTAACCTCTTGGTTTAGGTTCATTAAAGTTTAACCTCCCCAAATAAATGCAAGATTGGGGCTGCGTAATCTGGCAACTCTGGTTTGTTTGATGAGTTTACTCTAACATATTGGACGAGTGTGAGTGAAATTAGAACCATCACCGAGCAGACAAATTGAGTCGCCTTCTTTTTGACGCCGGCTCAATACCCTCTCTATCCTTCACTCTATCAATCAAGCATAAGTAGTTACTACCCAACTTTCTACCACCGTTCCTCACATTCAACGTATTTTCTAAGCTATTAAATTTCAATAGCTTCTCTTATTTTTCTTTTTACCACAGCCGTATCATAATTAGCGAACCAACTAGTTTGAGACCATTCTATTTCATGTCCAGTTTCCACCATATTTCAGTCACTTCTGACCGTTGGATCCAGGTACCTTTTCAAGATTCATCCGTCCTCATCTCGTGAAATCGATCAACGAATCTCTTCTTCATGCACTTCTATACGAAATGAAAATCCCGCCAATACTTATTTTAGTTTTAAATATATGTAAGGAACATGCCTAGGACAACATAAAAGATGGCTTTATGATTAGATTTGTTAAGAAGAATAACAAGGCTTAGTTCCAAACTATAATATCAAGAAAATATGCTTATGTGAAAATGGATAAGTATATCTATAGTTGTACAAAGAAGTGTATATAACATAACTAGGCATCTACTTCTCCATAGAGTGCATATGAACAAGAAACATAGGGTAAGATTGAAAATGAGTAAGTTATACCTTAAAGGTATAATTATCAGCAGTCTAAAACTTATGTAGGCCTCATCAATGTCTTATGTACAGGGAGGGAACCCTAGTTAACGATATAAATATTCCATTTATTAGGTCACAATCCATAAGTCACACTTCTTTTTTTCATAAAGAAAAAAAATAGTACAAGTTAAAGCTAAGTAATAATATTAATTAAAATATAATAGGTGCTTAATAATAACTACATCATGTAGTTTAAATCTCACTGAGGGCAGTTAGGGCCCCTTAATAACATAGAGCTCGCACTCAGTGGTTTTTAAGCAATCATGTAACCAAAAATATTGAAAACCCCTATATTTAGATAAAACCAAACAATAAAGTTAGCAAATTTGAAGAGTAACTGGCTTTCGAGGAATCTCATAGCCATCGGCTTCTGATGGGATCGACCTTCGAATTTCTTCTTCATGCACTTGCATACGAAAGGAAAGTCTCATAAACAATAATTTTTGTATTGAGAATGCATTATCTTGAAATCAAGTATTTTAATGTGGAGACCTAATTATTCGTTAGTTAAAGCCCGTTAGGTTGGTCTTCAATTATACTATGAATATTGTGAATATTACAGAATAACTTTAAGGTAAATCTCTTCAATATTTTTAGTAACAATATCTGACTTATAATGGTAGATTGACATTTTTGCAAGCTCATAGTCATAAGCAATGGCAAGATGAGGCATAACTTTACACCAAGTCAAGAATCGTTCAATCATGCTTCGCTATGCCTTATTTCAACCCATATCAGCCAGTATTATCATAAAAAATTATATTTAAAAATTAAAGAACCAGCGAATTTATTATACAATTATGATGCGAGAATAGTCTTATTATGTTCATAATGTATGTAAGAACAATGACACTAGTTTATTGAAATCTGCCCTAGTAAAGATACTTGGGTTTCCGAAAAATCAAATTGTAATACTAATAAAATATATAATTGCCAGGCAAAATAAATGAGTAAACTCATAGGATATATTATAGTAATATAAGGATTTCCGTTATAATTACCTGAAGCGTCATCACCATATAATTGAATCTACTATTTTTACCACACCCAAGCAACTGGCATATATGAGGATTTCCCTGTATCCTTCGAAGAACAGCAACCTCCATTCTAAGAACTTGACGAGGCTGGGAATTAGGTTCAACTTTAATCGCAACCCGGAAAAAATCATCAGTTTTCTCTTGGCTGGTGGTTTGTCGCTCATAATGTTGTTGGCTATAATTCTGAGTAGATACACCGGAATCTGTAGAAACTATACCATTTTCTTCTTCCGTGCTCTGTCTTATGAATTGGTTTCGCACAGAGTTATTGTGGATGAGGGCCCTACAGCTAAGGCAATAGCCATTACTATTATTTGGATCTGAATCAAGAGTTGGCTTTCGAGAAAGTTCCATCTTTCCTGAAGCTGGGGTGGATGGTAATCTTACATCATCGATATGAGCACGAGTAAAATCTATTCCCAAACTTCTTGTTATTCTTGATTGGGTTGGGCCATTTGGTATAATGTTTGCGATATTAATGATATTCTGGCCACGAATGTTAGGCGTTGCACCGGGAGAAAAAAGTTGAGGCGAATAAAAAGAAGCCGATGCAGTGTTTTTCTCGCAAGCAACTTTTAGTGAGTCTAAGACAAGGGCATCATCAATAATAGCACCATGAATGAATCCACTATCAGAAGAAATTGCTTCAGCATAAGCGGGTAGAAGATTTTTTGATTCATGTATCGAAGAAATTCTGCCCAGTTCTTTTGAGAGACAAGATGAGCAATAAATATTGGTAAAAGCAGAAGTTGCCCGGAGATTAACAGAGGCATATTGAGAGCAGGCGCTCAATACCTTTTTACTTGATTTTTCAGCTTGAGTGTCAACAGCGACATAGATCTCTCCGAAGCCTCCTACTCCAAGCTTCCTTAAGACTCTCCATCTATCTTTTAAAGTATCACCAGGCTTAAGCAAATCAACTGGTTTTGTATTAAGAGTTTCTTGTACATTAATATTGTTTGCGTTTTCAATCTTGCAAATGTTTTCTTTTTTGATATGTGAAGTTAATTTTCTGTCATTGAAATTTGCTGTGTTTGAATTTGGCGATTTGATGACATGCAAACATTTTTGCTTCATGTAGAGAGAATTATTATTCAAATTCAGATCGATGGGATTTGATTTTTCGTCTAGTTGCATAATTATGAATACCTACAAAATATAGTTAACATTTAATATCCGAAAATGTATATTATCAATGAGCTAGCGT